GCTGCAAACAGTTAACCCTCTTGGCTCAAGTCCTGCAAGAATTAGTGCTGATGGGTCACCCATATCATACAGAATCATCACATGTCTCTAGCCAAAGGAAAACACTTTGAGAAGGTATTTGTGATCATACTACAAGAAGCTGTAATTTCAAGACTACACTCAAGACAACTTTCACAATAATTCAAAGGTCTGGAAGCTCTGGCACAATACAAGTCCAACATGGGAATTTTAAGGGTTATTTTGTGAGTAATTTTGAGTTTGATTAGGTACTACAAGCATCATTTCATACTACCTTAGTATATGGGTCTGGGAATCAATTCCTGTAAGTCTGATTATGTTGATCTTGTAGGAAGAGATTTAAGACTTCTCATTAAAAAGGTGTGTCAAAAACATGATGCAAATGTTCTTTCCCAGAGCATGGAGGCATCTCAATAGAAAAGTACAGGGAGGGATTTTCTTCAGGTAGATTTTTTTTACTTCTGAAAAACAATTCAAGTTCTAGTCCAAGAATCACACTAGTTTCTACGTATTCACAAGAACATTCCAGCCCTAAAATGACCCTTTGTAAGTCAAAGTATAAGCATCTACTGAAGCAGCATTTCAGCAGAAGACAAAACATAAAGCACTGATTTTAAGTGGTCAGTGTTTTAAATATTTTCAGTCATAGTAAGTGTTTATTCACAATTTTCAAAACCATTTGCAGTTTTCACAATTAACCCTAGAAACAAGAGACTCCTCTTTTTGGCATTGTAGGAAGTAATACTCTTAAGACATATAATAGCTTGGTGACTAGAAATTTGGCAACAAGCCACATACCACAGCACCAAAAGACAAAGACATTTACTTCCTAAGCTAAAGAAAGACCTGTTAATATCAAGAATCTCTCTCATGTTTTTTTTCCTCCAACCCACAACTAAAATCTTGTATGCCATGCTTGATTCTTCTCTACTAATGGGAATGATAAGAACCTTAAATTGACATTAAAGGAAGCAGGTTTGGTTAGAAAACAATCCCCATAAAAATGGATTTAATTACAACTTATTCAAAATCTGCATACTGTATTTTGAAATTGGAGAGACTTAACCTACTGAAATAGAAAAGGATATTATGCAGCCAATTATAAGCTAAGGGACAACAAAACAAACAAATCCATTTTAAGTGACCTGTAATTGCATCTGAAGGCAAAGGTTGAAGACAAGTTGGGACATAAAGCCCACATGACAGTTTCCAGAACTGACATGACAACTTATAATGGGGTTAAAATAAAGATTTATTATGAAAGATGACTGCAATCTTAACTCTCACCTTGTAATACTGGAATCAATTGCAACTTAAATGTACAGGAGCATAATGTGAAAAGATTTTTTTTATTCGTTAAAAGTTAACAGCAACAGGCACATATAAAATGAGTATGGCAAAGCCTTTACAAATGGCTTTACACTGAAGCTCTCCCAAAAATGGCTGTTGCAACAAACTGTAAACAGAATTAATAAACAGTCTTTTACAGTAATAACAAGGGAAATACAAATGAACTAAAAGAAAGCACCAGTTTCTCTCAAACTAGATAACAGTTGTGCTTACTTTACTTAAAACAATGTAAAACAAATTACAAAAATGGAATGTTTGAAGTTTAAAATTAGTCCTTAAATTTTGTCCTAAAAAACATTTCTCCTTTTCACATCAAAAACCCATAAATGGTTAATGTTTCAGTAGAGGGAGGAATAAGTAAACAATGCACTTTTTTTTTGTCTTTTTTTTTTCAATCAAAAACGAATTTGGTCACTTAGCTTTGTGCATAGTTTAAGGCATCTGTAGCAATTTGTTACAGGTTCCTCCCAATGTGGCTGTTCATGAAATTGTCACATTCTAAAAGAATAAATAAAAATGTTGCCGTTCAAACCCTTGCCCATCCCTTCCCTCCCCTCCCTTCCCCCACGCGCACACACACACCCACACATACACACATACTGCAGCGAAAGGGGCATTTGTACCCTTGTTCTGAAGGACACACTTCCCATCCCATTTTATTTCAGATTGGCAAATACCCTGAGCTGATTATGGTGTTTAGACATTCCACCTTTTTCTTGCATGTGCAGTTCAAGTGTACAATAGTGAAAACAACATGCAATGTTTTCACTGCAGAATCGCAACACAGTTAGGACTGTTCTCCCCCCACCCCCCTCCCCAGATTCAGAAGTGTTTTCTGCTTTTAAAAAACTGCATTCCCATACAGCACTGGAGTAAAGCTTGGCTGTGCTCTATGATGAATGCTCCATTCCCAGTGCACAAACACAATTATGGCAAATGGGAGGCTTTTCTGGCATCCAAAGAAAGAGCTGCAGTCCCAGATTTGATCTCTTTTAAAAACTGAAAACCCAAGGTTAGTGGTTCCTTTACAGCCAGGCGCAGTGGGAAGTCTAGAACCAAGAGTTTCAGAGTAGGTTTGTAAACATCAAGTCTTGCCACTGGCAGCAGAGGATGGGCACTTCACATTTCCAGATTTGAAACGGAGACTAAATGGAAGGGTATGCTTCGCACACATTTATGGGAAGTCTTGCAAAACGCCAAGATAAATGGAAATATCCATGTCAAGTCTTGGTTCTGAAGACCTTAGTTCAAACTCTTTAAAACCACATGTGGCATGTAATGAAACCTTTTTGTATCGTTCCATCGAGGATCAGTCATTGCTGTGCTTTGCATATTCAAGGTTCCAATGAAAGCCAACTGAGGCATATGTATGCATATTGCTCTATGTTCAGATCTTGCAATTAAAAATTGGGTTCAAATGGTCTGTTAAAGGAAAACTTGGAAATAAATAATGCTGGCATTGTTTATACTGAAACCTTGGGCAGTCATATGTTTTTCCTCTACCCCAACTGTGCAGATACCAAGAGGCAGTTTTGTCATGCAGATTCTGAGGTCAGGACAATCGATTTTCCTGAGGTAATATGTCTGAGTCCATTTCCTCAAAAGCAGGATCTGTATCATCACCACTGCTGGACTGTTCTCTCTGCATTCCCTTCCAACTAGCTTTATTCAGTCCCAGATGTCCAAGCATTGTCTGTGACAACCTGGTATTTGAAAACCGGGCCCACTCTGCAAACAATGGCTCCACTAAGTAAGTCATAAAACCTTTAAAGAAAAAAAAAAAACACCTAAAATTAAAAGCAGGAAAGAAAATGCATTTTTAAAGAGCTATAGGAAGTGATGTAAGAGGTCAACAGTAACATATACTGGGGAACTTTTTTCTAATTCAGATACACTTATAAAAACCCATCATCTTCCAACAGTTCTAAGAACTAGGACTCTTATTAAAATATAAAAATAAAATCCATAGAAATAACAGAAGTGTCAGTTAAAAGAACGGCACTATACTACATAAGGAATTAACAGATGAATCCTGTTCTTGCAAAGCCGTGGTCAAATAAAGGATGGAAAAGAAAAAGGAGAATACTAACAATCAGATTTGAATTAAGTACACAAACTGGATTAGAAAGCTGATAATTCCAACAGGGAAAAAGTTTAAAAAACCAATTACCAGACAGATTATCTTAACTATACTATAAAACAAACTCGATTTTCCTTCAACATTGCTAGAGGAAGACTGCCAAAATATGACCAAACAAACCTGTATATCCTTCAAAGCAAAGATGCCTAATAATTGCACTAGCAGCTACCAGGCTAAAAAGCATCACAATGGCCACATCTATACGAGACACTACTGCGCAGTCATTACCATGCATTTATTTAATACTTGTACGAGCAAATACTTGTATAAGTATTTGGTACTTATAAACAAGTATAAACAAGAACTAAATAAGTGTGCAGTAACTTGAGTTACTGCACAGTAGCACCAGGCAAATGCCTTTTTAGTGGCACTACTATGCGGCAGCATTACACCATGGTTTTTGCCAATTTTTTTACCCCATTTGTTAAAAATAATATGGTTAGCTTTTAAGCAACTGTATTATGCACAGTTAAGACAACAATGTATAAGATAGTCCTAAAATTCTTCAAATTTCCCATTTCTCTATAGAATAAAATTGCAAATTATGTCCAGCGTTTAAAAGTATTACTTTGCTCAATAAAAACATGTTATAAGGTTTTATTCAATCTGTATACAAGAAAAGCTTTGGGAAAATATTTTCACCTCTGTTGCTGGTTTAAATCTAGCTCAGGTTATCAGTGATCAAAGATAACCTAATGGCTGTTCATCATCATACAGTAAATTTGTGGTGCCCCTACCCCACTGTTTTTTTTGTTTTGGGGGGGGTTAAGACTATCAGGCTATCTTTAATTGTTCCCCAAAAAAGGTTGTCTATGTTCAAAAAGTCAAATCAACTGGCACTCTCACTGGCAGCCTTTCTAAAGATGCCAGGACTGAATGGGTATGGAGAATTAATTGGCCTCTTGAATCTGGAGGTAGTCATTCCAGAGTAGGGGGTTGAGCATATTGGAGACGTTGCAAGGGAAAGTTCGCAGTGATGCTTCCCATGTCCATCCTGTTCCATGGAGAGACAGAATACTCCAGTCTCTGCAACTATCAACTGAGCACCTAAATTCGAAAGAGAAATTTTAAAGAAAGAAATAAAGACCGCGTCTGGGGAAGAAGTGCTGCCAAAGGAATTTAAAGAGGATACAAATAGCAGGACATGCAAGCAAAGATACTTTCCCTTCCATTAATACCTGTGTTCTTAAAAGGGAACTACTGAAATAGTTTGAACTATTGACATATAATTAGTGATTACCAATTTGGATGTTCGCAACAGTTTCTGACTCTCGATCACACAGCGGACTCACACCCAAGTGATACTTTTTTTCAATATCTCCTAAAGAAAAGAAAAAATAGAAATGGACACATTCTAAAATCAGTGTTTTGCATACACAAGTGAATAGTCAAAAACCTGAAGTATCAAACACTGATAGAAATGGATTTCCTAATCATGACAGAATAGGTCCGTATCTTCAGAGATACTCTGGACAGGATGTTGTCTATTTATGGTAATACCTTGTACTGGTTTTACTTACCTGTATTAAAAAAGAAAATGCGTTTTACCTTGTACTCAAAAATATATCCACTGACTTATCACTGGGTTATATCCATTCCAACACAAACAGTAATAGATTCAAGAAAAGCTCCAAGTAGTGGAGTATGTCAGTAGGGAAATTGCCCATTTTAGAATCTGCCAAAAGAAAATACGACAATCTTCTTTTTCCTTACTACTATAATGGAAGTGAAAGATTCCCTTCGGACAGTGATAGCAAAAGAGGTAATTCTGTCTTAATAGCTGCAAATGAAGTTTTCAGATGAAAGTATTCAATTTTGTTCAGTCTTGTTATGTCTTTTAGATCATAAAGTCTTCAGGTGAAACTATCTGGTTTTTTTGTCTTGTAAATGCAGTGCCCAGTCCAAAAACAAAATATTAATGATTGCCGTCTTCACCAAATGTTACCTTATCTGTGCAAAACAATTACTGTTCCTCAATATAAAGCCAGATAAACCTGCTGTCAAGCTTACATGGGAGAATGCACACATGTCCACTTTTCTCTCACTTTAAAAGAATCATAGAGTGCTGTTCAGTCCATTTGTCCATTAAAATCTTTCACTCACTTGATGCCAAGGCTCAGATAATTTATTAACTTGCCTATACTATGCAAAAGCTTCCTTTACTAGGCAAAATTCTGCTCCTGAAAAGTCTATTCACCAGTCAATTCATCCAACCCATTCTGAATCCTCATAAAAGAGAGGCATACCAGCCCTAGAGCTAGATCACTTTGAAAAGAAAGTAAATACAGCTGTTAAATAAACCTAAAGTTTTTCACCAGTACAATTCACATGCCCAAACATACAAAACCCTGACCTGGTAATATGGATGGAAGAACTCAACTTTCTCCAAAAAAGCGCAATCCAAAATCCTCCTGTACAAACAACATCAACCTGCTGTAATCTAGCCACCTACAGCCTTAACAAGAACTCAGGAAACACAAGCTTCATCTCAGATCAATCTGCCTGGCCACACCATGCCAACAAGAGTATTCTGGTTTGTTCCTAGATGGTATATTTCTCCCAGATTCAAAGCTCATTGCCCTTCACACAGGGCTTAGGAAAAAAGGATCTGATACTAGACTTTAAAGAACTTGTAGAAACAGAAGTACAAGGCTACCTGGCCTCCATTACAGTAGTGACAAACAGGCTGCTGGACTAGAAGTGCAGGCACACTACACTTTTACACTGGAATTAAGTAGTATGGCTGTGCGAAGCTTCGATCCCTGATCCAATTCAGTGGAGATTCAGCGGCCAAAGCTCTGAATCCAAATCGAATCAGAACCCTCCAAATCAATTTGAAAAGATTTGGAGATTTGGACAGAGACAGCTTTAAATGATTCTTCTACATACCTCTAGGTATCAGGGGCTTGTGACTGCTGCGATGCTGGGGTGCATGGACTGTCCCACAGAAGTATGGGGGGCTCCCAGCATGCTCAACAGTGGACCAGAAGCAGCTCCAGTCCACTTCCAGGTCTGCCAGGAGCGCACAGCCCCCTCCCCCCGACCCTGTGTTCTCCCAGCTCAGGTGACTGGTGCCTCCTGGGGCCCCCCTGTGGCCAATCACCAAGCCAGGGAGGCACAGGGGGGCCCCCAGCACACTCCCTGGCAGACCCGGAAGTGGACTGGAAGTACTTCCAGTCCACTTCCAGGTTGGGCACTGAAGGGGGGGGGGCGCTGGAGGGCTCTCCCGCACTCCTGTGGGATACTCCATGCGCCCCAGCATTGCAGCATTCATGAGTCACACTTGCTACCTCGAGGTACATAGACAAAACTTTTAAAGCTGTGTTTAAGTCCAAATCACTGATTCTCTGAATCAGCATCAAATCTTTAGATTGGACTAATCAAATCAGGGACAGTGATCCGAATCAATTGATCAAATCACTATCCCCAATTCGGGCCAAATCTAAATCAAATAGGGCCTACTTCACACAGCCCTAGTAAGTAGTACATCTGCTCTGAACACCAGTACAGGTTTCCCTCAATTTATGTGGGTTCTTTATATGCAAATTAATTCTTATGCGATGAGCATAATTCGTTACACGTGAGGTAAATTTGTTCTTATGTGATCAGCATAGCTCTCTCTCTCCCGCCCCTCCCCCCCGCAGGTATGTCTGTGGGGGGAGGGGAAAGGGCCCCAGTCACCCCAGCCCTGGCTGCAGTGGCTCCAGAAGCAGCTGGTGCCAGCTGCCTGCAGCCACTGGTCTGCACAGTGCTCCACCTGTCCCCCCACACCTGTGCTCACCCCAGCTCCTGGGCTGCGCCATGCCGTGATACAGGCAGCTGGCGTCAACTGCTCCCGGGGCGACTCCAGCATGGGCTGGGGTAAGTGTAGACAAGTGGAGCCCCTGGCAGCGCAGGGCACAGCACTCACCCCAGCCCTGGCTGCAGCAACCCTGGGAACAGTCAACACCAGCTGCCTGTACCAGGGCATGGCGCAGCCCAGGAGCAGAGGTGAGTTGGGACAGGGAGCACAGTGCAGCCCAGCAGCTGCAGACAAAAAACAGGGTTGCTTTATGTGAATTCACTTTATGCATCGTTCTCTAGGAACACGTCACCATAAAACTGAGGGAAGCCTGTACTGTTAACTCTGGAGGCAATTGCCTACAGTAGGTGCTCTTACAGAGCCTCACCACTAGGTGGCAGACTACCCCCAACAGCAGACACACTGGTGTATACTCTCAGCAACTTTGAGGGCTCTCTTTAGCCCACAGGGAACAACTTATACCAGTCCAAAAATGTCATCTCTCTAGGGCTTTTCTTCCATTGGCTAGTAACTTATTGCAATTTCCGCAGTAGTTTTCACTGTTAACTGTGTAGATTCACAATTAACTCACAGACATGGAATTGCTCTGGCTTTCAGAGCAGGTGAAAGCAAGTTTCAGAACAAATTAAGACAGATTTGTATCCTGGAATGCTGAGATACCATTGAAAAGTTAAAGCAGTAATTAATTCTACTAATGGTTTAGCTACTACCTAAAATGCCATGGTTTGTAAGCACTATTGAAATTCATGCAGTTTGAACCTACACAGGAAAAAAGTGACATACAAAAATATTCTGATTAAACTGCAACTGATAGTACAAAAACAGCTTTTCAGACAATGTGCTGCAAATAAGTTCATTTAGATGTGACCCTTCAGATGTGTTTTACCCACCTCATTAAACCTAGGTTCTACCTGGTGCTTCACTCTTTTGAGAGCAAATTCCTTATATTAAAACAGAATCTGAAGCATTAAAGCATTTTTTATGAAAATATAAGAAAAGCAGGAACATACATTCATCCTGGTAATGGTAAATGTAATTGAAGTAACAGGCATGTGAAGGGCTTGGAGAGGATGTGTTTCATAATTTGAGGATCATTCACCAAGTACATGTAAAAAAAAAAAAAAAAAAAAAAAAAAAAAAAAAAATCAAGAAAATTTTTCATCTGAACTATCCTTAGGGGTGAGGAATATGTTCCAGCTAAAATATAAATCAAGAACTGCCATAGCTATCCTATTTACTCAAATTGAAGACAACCCCCCCCCCAATTAAATTTTATATATGGAAGAATTATAAATGTTATAATTTTCTAGGTATAGAATCTAATTATCAGAGAGTTGTCTGATTGGCCAGGCCTGACAATAAAAAGAGAAGAGAAGGGGAAGGAGGGGGGAGCAGAAACTGCCGAGGGCAAGTGGAAGGATGAACAGGGGCAAGAGGCTGCTGTGGGTCTGACTGGCCCCAACCCAGGCTCAGGACCAGAGCCAGAGCCGCAGCAGCCATCTGCTCCCCGCTACCCGCCCCCACTTTGTACATGAATCTAACTCAATGGGCTTTTTCCCCCATGCTGATGGGGAGAAAAAAATCTCATCTTAGATCTGAATAAATGCAGTAGTAAGTAATGCTCATGGCATCTTTCAAGAATGTAAACAATGGAAGGGGTTGGAGGGTGGAAACTTTCACCCTAAACGTACACCCTTTATTCTTTCAACATGCTATGGCTCCCGTGACTGTTTATCTGATGATACAATTATACATCCCACTGTCACCAAATCAATTTTCTACTTACCTTGATGGAAGAATTCTTCTGTTACTTTTTCACTCCACTGCTTACTTAGCTCCCAAGTCCGACATGGATTACAAATATCAGCACACTTCAAAGCCATCTAATACATGACACACCAGTATCACTTACATTATATTCACATGCAGAAACATGAATCAAAACCTCTGAACAGCTGCCATCCTCAACATTTTGTGCTTTTTTTTTTTTAAACTACTTAGTTTCCCACTTTTGCTTTGCTAATTACATGGCAGGGAGCTATATCTAGGGAATTACAGGACATCGTGAATAGTTCTGAGTCATACCGAAGTAAAACCAATTAGTTCCATACTGGAAAAAGTAAGTGAATCTAAGCATCTAAAAGGCAGCATAATTCAGTACATATAATATGCACTAAGTATGGTACAATAAGAAATGTTAAAGAAACAGTTGGACTTCACTAGAAATCAGAAGGAAGCTTACTAGACATAAATTAAACTGCTCAAAAATATTTTTTTAATATTTTAAATATTATCCTGCCAGCTGCCTAAGTGTATAACTGCATAGGACACTTTAAAGAGTTAACTGATAGTTTATTCCCAACTACTAGTCATTTTAGCAGCATTGGAATAGTATAGTCATGACAAGAAGGAAATTGAACTAACTGTTGACAAAACTGAAGTTTGTTTAGCTGAATTTTTGTTAAAGTTCTGCCAGGCTTCTTGCTGTTCATTATTTTTTTTTAAATCAGGATGACTAATGTGTAATCCTAGGACTTCTGCATGTCTTAGGGGCCCTTTTCTCCACCTCCATTTCCATTATGCTCAAAGAAATATTTTCATCCTGTTCTATTTATTGTGAGGTGAAAGACCAGGTATTCAAAAAAACACCAACTTTGAAAAAATGATATGAGCATCCTGAACTATTTAAGTACTTAATTTAAGTACTCATCTTTGAGAGGGGTAAACACTGAGCCACAGGTGGTAAAAGGGAATTGAAAGACGGTCAAGGTGACAATGCCATCTGCATGTCCTCAGCTGAAAACAGAAGTCAGCACACACACTGCTAACAGGAACTGCTAGTGAAAATTCCATTTTGCTATCTCTGCTATTCCTGGTCTGTAAATAGACAGCAGAGCTTAAGATTTCCACACTGTCAATTTGATATTTTCCAAAATCTAAAGAACATTAACACCCTTGGCTTCACTTTGACAGCAGACAACTTTTATCCTGAAAGAAGAAGTATTTGAAACAATTTACTTCTGAAATAAAAATGGCACTTTCAAAGATATTACAAGAAGTTACCTGCAAAATGAAGTGACGATGGCTCGCATCCTCTAAACATAAGTCCCCTCTGTCCAAATGGGTTCTGAACACAGACAGATATTCATTTTGCTGACTGATGTCTGTGGCAAGAATAAGAGCACCTATCTGGCTTTCCATCAGCTGCCTGAAATTATTGAACATAAAATATTTAAAAAGGCAAAAATGAAAAGTTAGCATTGAACTGATATTTAATAAACAGGGTGTATTATACAGATGCAAGACACCTTGTATATTACATCTGTATATTACACCTTGGTGTAAGTAACAATGACCCCGAGTTTAGCATTTTGAAAAGTTTTACATAAAAAAAGTCTTCTTGTATTCCAACTATTATTAAAACAGGTGAGAAAAGCCACAATTAAAAATTCAGACTGGTACAGTTTAGTTTGCAAAGTAGTTATCCTTTGAAAAAAATCAGTATATTCTTGTAATCTAATCAGATACTTGTGTTTCAATACACTTCCTGATATAAAATGCTCACAATAAAGTTTTCAAACATTTTACTTCAACACCAATGTCATTTAACAGATCTTGTTACAAATCTGACTATTCAATGGCGATTACAAATTAGCATACAATATCCTAACACCACACTTCCTCTCTGAAGCTGCTCATCTCATGCATAAACTGCATCTAACTTCAAGTAATGCATATGATCTGTACAACATACCTATTTTCTAGTGACATGTGTGCAAATAAACCAGACTCTCTCAACAATCCCACTGCTGATCTCCAGTGGTGGTTTTCCAATACTGAGGTATTCTACAAATAGAAGCAGGTATCAATCAGTTCTCTCTTCAAAAAATTAATTTAAAGTCTTGTACCACTATAGTATAAACACCACCTTATAAAAGAATGTTCAAAATTTCCAAGGTTTAATAACTTCTGTTAGGCTCACAGTTTGCATTTATTGTTCCCATTCAATGAGATAAAACATGGCAGGTTCAAAATCTACTAAAGTTATAATATTAATGGTAAAATTGTTTTTGTACATTGCAAACATATAATATTTGGTTCTCATAAGCAACATACCTTCCACTCACCTTATACAGAGTTGCTAAGTAATGGTTTGTTTTAATAAGGAAAGGTTGATTAACACCTGGGTGATCCAAATCATGTGTGGCAGCTGCAATTAAACTGAGCAGAACATCCCATGGAGTTAGAGATTTGGAAAGCTGTAATAAATGAATCAGTATTATTCATATGAACATTTCCTACCGTTTCACTTTTCATAGCCAATATTCAGCCCATGAATGAGTAAAGTCACCAAAACAACATCAGACCAATCCTTTATAGAGTGCTATGAAAGAACACCATCACATAAAAGTGAGCAGGGAAAGCAGAGAAGTGTGTATGTTCTTTGTTTTTTAGTGTAACACCACTGCTGGAGCCAGATAGCCACCAACTCCTCAGCTGCAGCATGGGCACCCAATGTCCAGCCTGTGGGGAGTTGTGCTACAGCCAGGCATCCACTGCTTCCCTCTACTCCTCCCCACACTCCCTTCCAGCTGTGGCATGGGCACAGCTGGAAGCTGTCTGTCTCCAGTGCCAATCCCCACTAGCTGGAAACTGCACCCTCACTGAATGTGGTAGGGAGGAGGGTGGAAGCATCAGTAGGGCAGATGCAGTTTGCAGGTGCCCAGCCCCAGCACAGCTCCCCACAGGCTAGAACATGCACCTGTGTCCATGCCCTAGCCAGAGAACACTGGGCTGGGAGAAGTGACAGTGGTGCAGGTACAGCTTCCAGCTATCTGTCCCAAGGGCAGGCATGGGGAAAGCTCCCTGCTGCCAATGTACCACCAAAGCCAGCCCAGCCTGCATTAGACTGGAGCCAGGTTGTTCTGGCCAATGGCTTAAAAGGTTGCTAGCCCCAGTCATAAATGGTAATGCATCGCTTGAAAAAACAAATTAATGGTAGTTCTTGGACCAAGGTATTTGTATCAGTTTTACTGGTAGACCAACAAACAATTCAGCCACTCAGATGCCAAAAGTTTGTGATACAATCAGTTAGCAGGTTTAATAGCTACCTGAAAGCCTACTGGTTTGAGTATGGCTGGTTAAAATAATTTAGGTACCAAGAACAATTCTTGGAGTTGTCTCAGGTTCCAGCCTATGATACTTTATATCAAAATCTCTGTGCCTTGTTCTTCTATTTTACACAAAGATAAAATCACCAAACAGCAATTGTTTTCATATGTTGTAAAATTCTAGGACATCTGAGATGCAACTGCTAAGAGACTGTTCAAGAGTGTGCAGTCCCAAATCAGCTTTGCTCTGGGTCCTACTGCCCTTGGTTCCTGTCATCTTTGACAGGAACCAAGGACAGATCAATTTTAAATTTTCTCAGTTTTTTTTAGGAGCCCTGCAGGCCGGATAGAATGGCCTTGCGGGCTGCATCTGGCCCGCAGGCCATATTTTGCCCACCCCTGTACTAACCCACCCCGAGAGTGCATTTTAGTGCAAGACATTTTAGAGATTTCACAATGAGATTTCACTAATTCTAAACATGTGATCGCTTACAGAAGGAGAGAAGACTCAACTCCAATCTCAAAATTATGAGATTACCATCTTGGTGTGAAGTAATTCAAGGTATAACTATGTTATTTTCCATCAGTCTCATCTTTTTCCTGTTCCCCCTTTACACTATCATACTACTGTTGTGCCTGGATTCAACTTGGGTCTCAATCCTCCCACCAGTACCAGATTAATAAAAATCCTGAGTAATAGGATCCAATTTTCTACAACATCCTATAGAAAACATCTAAAGTGAAGGGCCACCATTCTGAGTAATCTTTGCTCATCTCCTAAATGTCTCAGCCACATATCTCCCTTTCATGCAGCCTATTTTATAAAGACAGACAACACTTGTGCCTTGCTACAATATGCATCTGGCAGAGAGGGTTGGTCAGTAATATCCAAGGCAAAGCAAGCTATAGGACTTCCAGTTATTCTAAGCCAAAGCACCAAAAAAAATGTAAAAATCTATTAATGAGCAGAAAAGCTGGTACAAGAAGGGAGTGGTGGTAGAAGTAAAATAAAAAGTGGGGGCAGGTGCTGAGCTAGAGAAGACCTGAAGATGCCAGTTGTATGAACCTGGCAAAAAGAAAAATACAAATGAATATTAATACATAAAAATAATATAAACAGTAACATGAAAACCTGGGTATTTGGGTATAAATAGGAGTGGTGAATTAGTTGTTTCTTGTAGCGACCTAGGGGCGGGGAAAGGAAGCACATTGTTCCTACTTTGTCCCCATGGTCTGATTGCTAAACACACCAGCCAGCATACTGTCTGAGTGACAATAAACCTGTCTGAGCTTTTGCCAATGAACTCAAATTTGGAGTAATTTTTTCTGCACCACACCTGGACTCTAGGAACGCATCCACACATGCAGGCCACGTACACTTGCAGCAGCTCAAATACCAGTGGCACAAATTTGTGCCTCAGCACTTATGCCTGAACATGCACTTTGGTGTGGGACATGCTGTGCCACTTACGGCAAACTGACTTTGCCCAGCTCTTCCCTGATCTGCAGTCCAGGGGGAGCTAGAGGCTGGGGCCAGCACCTGTGTCGGCCACCTCGTCTGCTCTCCAACTGGGTCCCCAGTGCTGACCCTGGGCAGGCTCCTCTGCCTGGGCCCCACTACTTGCCTCATGAGCAGAGATCCTGACGTTCCATTTAAAAAAAAATGCAAACTCTTATTAAAAAAATCCAAATTCTCTCACTAAAATACCCAAAATCCATGTTCTCCCACAATTAAAATGAACTGCTGCTATACGTAAAGAGAGATCAGTGGGGCAATGTTTTATTGATATATTTACCATTTTAAAGCAATTTGGAAGCCTACCAGTGCCACTATCGTCATAATAAAACAAATTCTAAATATCTATACACTTTGGCATTTGCTTTTGGGTTTTTTTATCATAGAAAACTCAGAGCTGCCCCTGCCTCCTTCGCTCACTGGGATGTGCGGCACTGAGCAGCAATGATATGCCAGTGCCCTGCCCCTACCGTTGTCCCTCGCTCCCAACCCACAGCCCATCAGTGCCCCTCACTCCTGACCCGCAGCCCCTGCGTGCCCCCACTAGCTCCCTCCCAGCCACAGCTCCATCCCAGCACCAGGACATGAGTCCAACTGCAGCTGTCCCACCCACTGCTTTGTGGCTCTGAGTAGTGCCAGCCCTTGTTGTTCTGCTCTCTGCACCTGTGCCCAGGCCTCAGCAATCCCCATGCCATTCCTGGGAAGCCCTCAACTGGGGCCCAGGGACTGGGCTGGATAAGTCCCTTCCCTTCTAGAGCAGCCTCCCCCTGCACAGGCTGCTCTAGGGGGAAGAAGGGCTCTAAGCTCAGCTCTGGCAGCCTCTCCTACCCAGAGTGCTCCCCCACCCCCGACCCCCATCTCTCGCACACCTGCCAGAACTTCCACCACTCTCCCCAGCCCATCACACCCCCCAAATGGTTCCTGGGACCAGGAACCCCCCAGGCTGGAGGTGCGTGCTCCAGCACGAGTGCGGGCACAAGACAGGGCTGCAGTGTGGCAGTTGCCTCTGCAGCCATAGCTCACACCAGCAGGTTCCATCCCATCTGGTGGCTGGGCACGCAGGGTGTGAGATCTGTCATGAGACATGGGGGAGTTGTGGGGTGGGGGGGCTTGTGCAGAGGTCTGTGGGTGTGGAAGGACTGCGTGGGTGTTTGGGACTGTGTGGGAGACTGCTTGGGAGAGGTGGGTCCACTGCCCACCCCCCATGATGCACAGACTGCCGCTCCCCACCCCCGGCCAAAGCAGCAGCAGCCACCATCAGGGCACTCGTGCCCACTGTTGGCAGAGACCCCCGGCACCGTGGCACCGCCTCAGACCCAGCAGCTGCACACGCCCTCCCACAGGACCAGGCTGCTCTTGCTGTCACCCATGGGTCCCGGCACTGCACACAAGAGCCACACACCCTGCTTTGAGACACCACAACAGGCAAGTGCGTGCTTGTCTGGATGTGGCCCACAAGTCCTCTAACACTGGCCTTCCACAGCACCCAGACCCCAGCAACCTAAACATGGAAAGCAACAGCGAAAAACACCATGCACCTCAGAACAACATAAGCAAGCAAAAATAATAAGAGATTTTGAAAATCAAAGTCAATTGGGTCGCATCTACCAGCTTCTTACTCAGTGACATCCATGTTTCTTAGACTGCAGGTTTTTTCCCCATCTTAACAGCCTGTAAAATCTTAAAGTGCATTGTTTTCTCTCTTTTTTTTTTTTTAAAGTATAATCCTTTATCTTTGTGCCTTTGCATTCTATGCAAAACAGACTTTGATCCCTTACCTTGGGTTCTTTTAAATAACAGTGCATGGCCTGAGTCACATCAGCAGCATGAACTGCATTATGATAAGGGTTTTGACTATGATAATCTTCTTGGACCATAACTACAGGAAATAAAACAAGCATGCAAATTTAAATAAAATGGCAATCTTTAAAAAAAATGTACTATTTTACATATCCTTGTTAAACACAGGAAGAGACTAAAATATTAAAATTTGACTTTTTGTGCATATAAAGGTAATGAACCAAATTCATTTTAAAAGTTTAGCCATCCCTCCCCCTACACACACACACACACACAGAGAGCTTGACAAAACTGGAACAAATAACCTTAATTTTCAACTGAGCTGTCCTGTAGATTATACAGTGATCCTCCTAAAAACCCTGTTAAGAGGGCTTGAGTCTTATTTCTCTAGGTCTGATTAAGAATTAACCTTAGTCAGCATCAGTAGAAATAAAAAAAAATAAGAAAAGTAATTATATCTGATATTGTCCCAATTACCATTATCTCTACTTCACATTCACTTGTGATCTGATACTCAGCTCTTAAAATCTTCTAAAGACAAACGTGATATATAGCAACTTTCAAACTAATATTCTTGGTTAAAAAAAATCAAGTTTCTCCAAAAAATATTGCCAAAATTGCTGAAATTCACGTGATTTTGCTAGTGTGGAAATGCCCCCACCCCCATCACCACATTCGATTCAATTATAAACACTTCTTAAAGTGCACTGACTTGTGAAAATCCAATACACTATCCAAATTAAATTTGTATGCAAAATATATTGACAATCACAGAAGCAAGCTTCGAATTTGAGCTGTTCAAATTTGCTAAACTGTAGCCAATACTTCAATTAGCATCTTACTGTACAAACAAGGAGTAATAATGCTCACTGTAACAGGCTAGAATACATACCTAAAAATCTGCGAAGTTTCATCGTATCTAACTGGAAGTGTTCAATTAGTCCATGAAAATTAAACAGGTGGAAGGTTAAGCTCACTAGACTATTTCCTAAAAATAAGATAAAGTAGTAATTAAAAACACATGAAATCAGTCCTGTCACAACAGAGAAACATTTAAAATCATAGGTGAACAAGTTATGCAAACAAATTTTTCCTTAATTTTTGTCTAACTTATGAAATAAGAAGCATGTGTAGATTGAGATTTAGTTTGTGAAGTCTCCACACCAATGATCCTCAATGCACCTCCAGCCAACAGTGAAATCTGCAATGAGAGAAATCTCACTAGTATTAAAATTAACAGATCAGGTTTTGATGACACCTTCCTTTTGGTGGAGAACAAGTTTAAGAACAGATTTATTGCTGAAAAAGAGCACAGTTAATTAGATCAGTAAGATGAGCACCACTGGTGACTGCTCCAAGCTGAAACTTCTATTTAACAACTCTCCCATCAAGGTTTTGACTAAGCGTTCCTTATTGCAACCAGAAATGAAAGAAAATAAATGTGTATAGTTCATTGTGCAGTATTACTACAAGCTTACTCTACAATTTGTTTACTAGAAACTACAATATTTAATATCACACTTTTAATTTACCTTTCAGAAAGTTCCCAGAGGCAGTAAGGAAAGGCTTGCAAATTAAATATATTGAATCATTACATAGTTTCAACTAATTCAATTTGCAACATATTTACTTTAACCCCCCATTAGATGTTTGAGGAGCACAAAATTCCCCAGCATATAAAACTTACTGTCAAGTCTTCAATATATATATCACATTGGTATCACTTTCCTCAGACGAGAGGAGAGAATTTCTACTTGACATTAAGATGGAACACGTTCGTTTTGACTTAAAGTGAGCACCAACCTAGCTTTTTGAACCAATTGTTTAGTTTCACCAAGTTATACTTACATACCCATGCTCAATCTCCGCTCACTTATTTAAGACACATGAAAATATAAAAGCAAGCTTCTTTTAACTTACAACAATATAACATATGATACCCAAAGCTTTCCTTCAACAAAGGCAGAATATCAGTTTGTGAGGCTACACCTTCTTCTCTGAGCTGTTGCTCCCTGGTTTCTATTCAAGGTCCCCTATGAAGAGACTACTACCCTAGACTTTTCTTCTTCAGTTTCCATTGCGTGACCCTACATGCTGACTTGCATGACTTCAGCTACATCAACTTTACACTAACTACTCTCAAAAACTACTCTCAACTACCAGCTTCTCCTCCTCTACCGAGGTCCCACATCTGTGTGGTTTCAGGTATTCTACCACATCCAATGCAGAACCATCAAGAGGAGCTCTTCTTTTTCCCCCTAAAACCTCCTCACCTATCAGTTATTACCACTACTTCATCTCTCACTTGCAGTTTTAGCAGCTCTTCCCTCCAGAAGCATTTCTGCCTCTTGCCAACTCCTTTCCAGTATTTTAACAAGTAACCCTTCCCCTTCATTTACATAACAAGATGTCAGCCTATTATCTGGTAGTTTACCATACTGAAAAATACAACTACTTCTTCAACAGTTTCTGACATGTCCATTTCTTCTTCCTCCATACTATTCAACATGCAGCTGCCAATATCATCATATACACTAATTTAACACACTGCCCTGCTTTTACCCAATTCCTACATAAGCTTTCCTTCTCTTTACTCCAGTTCCAGGCCTATTCTTCAATTACCGAATTATCTCCAACTCCCTCATACTTTATCTCTTTGCCATCACCTCTTTCTATAGCCCTTGCTGCTTTCTGAAATCTATATATACACACACACACTACATCTTTTTTTTCCATTCCATTCCCCACTCTCGCTTTAACTTTTCTTCTATGGTACTCCTATAACTGGAAGTTTCATTTTACGTATACCTAATTCCTACAGCCTCACCTGTTCTGTAAAGTTTCCCAGCTATAAACACTGGTAACAATTCTTCATTTTTCCCCACTATATTCTACTGCATTTTAAATATTCTGACTTTACACAGAATAATCCTTTGGAGGTAAGGATGCTGTTAAGCATAAATGAATCTATGGGAAAGAATGCTATGCACACTAACAGCTGTCTGTAAATGAGCAAAGAGAACCCCACAGATTTTACTGGTTACATTATTCTTTAATTTAAAATATATTTTTCAATAGTAATAAAGAAGAAATAACCAAGGCTATTGAAGCAACTACCTGAAGAATCTATTACAGAAACTCAAGAAATGACTAAGTAGCTATCTAGAATTTAAATGTCTAGGTTTTCAAACCAAATTTTTTTCCAAAATAAACCCACAAATTTATAATCAAAGAGCTTCAACGAGCAGTTAGATCCCACCCCACAAATAATGAAGCATCAGTTTAAAGTTGAGCTAAAAGTATATTTATGAACAGTAAAAGCCAAAAGCTTACCATTTGTTAGCCTATCAAAAAGAAAGATATCAAAATTCCAGTTTCCAACTTTCTCCAGCATACACTGAAAGCAAACAAAAATATTTCCATTGTAACATCTTCATTCATCATCTGCCCATTTCAGCGTTCAGAGCCAGCTGTAAATTTTAGTTTAACTAGCTAAAAAAGCATTAAAAGGAATACAATTTTAAAAACAAGTTCTGTCCAAAAGTATGAGCTAATATTGTTACAAACTATTCTGTACATGTGTTCTGAAATACTGAACGTAGTTGTCTTTTCACAACACTCTGATTTGTTTCTTCTCCTTCCAGCTAGTTTACAGAAAACAATCATGCCCCGTCTCAGTTTTGTTAGACTTCAGCTGTACTCTCAGTTACTTCCCATAAGATGGCTCTCTATTCTACCAGTCATCCTACTCATCTTTCACTGCAGTTTGAACTGATCCTTCTGGAACATAGATGACCAGAACAGTAGATAGCATTCCAGATGAGGTCTCACCAGAGCTACTGACAACAACACTGATGCTTACCTAGTATCAAAGGTATTTGACTTTAGCAACTACATACTGGTGACTGCCAACCTGTGATCCCAGGTCTTCCTTTTCTCTATCTTTCAACTGATGAGTTCTCATTTCTTAACAGAAATTCGTGATATAGAGCCTAATAGATACGAATTCTATTATTCCATTCAGTTCTTCCTGTATAGTAATCCTGATCCTCCTTCACACGGATGATGCTTTCCAACTTGTGTCATCAGCTCACTCCTACTTTATGCCTCAAGGTCACAGGTGCCGAGTACAAATCAGGGCCAGAGGGTCATGAACCCCCTTCAGAAGAGGCCTGTCACCTGAAATGCATAAAACTTCCCACATGTCCATCATCTTAGCCTCCCAGTAAAAATAAAAGTACCTACGCCCAAGGTCATTAATGACTATATTTAATAGGAACTTAGTCCCATGAACAAATCTTTGAACTCAACTAGTAACCTCCATCTTTTCTAACACTTTACTTTCAAGCAAAATCTATGGTCACCTTCCTTTTGGTTCCTTTCCCATCTCACTACTGACTATGTTCTCCAGTTAACTGCTGATTTCTCAAGTGACACTATCAAATACTTTACTTAAGTCCAAAAAGATTAGAGCTACCACATTTCCCTCGTATAACAAAAAAAAAAAAAACAGATATCCTGTCAAAGAATGATAAATCAAGTTAGGTTAGCACAATCTACCTAGGGAAAAGTGCCATGTGAAAAAAATGCACACTTATTTTCTATTTACCTCTAATTTTATCTTTCCTACAAATTCCTGCATGTTTTTTAGGTTAGACAAATATACCCGGAGTTCCCTGCATCCTTCTTAAATATGGGTATTACGCATTTGCTATTCACCAATCAAGTCTAACAGATGTTATAAAAACATTTGCTGCCAAACTTATGATGTGCTATGCCAGTTCTACCAGTATTTTAGAATGAAAGTGATCCTCACTCTTGCACATACTCAAATTTGAGTTTTAAACATTCAGCTTTGCTTCTCCCTCAGCTGAGAATAATTTTCATATTCATATTCTTAATTTTCATTGCCATTAGCAACCCTGCCTCTCCTCCCATGGTCAGCCTCATTCTTACTGAAAACTGAAGCACTGAACAGTCATTTAGTTTAGGGGTTATATTCAAATTCTCTTTAATCTCAACATCATCCTCACTATTTAGTAGTCAGGCTTCCTTCTCCACTCTTATTATATATAGCCAAAGAGCCATTATTATTTGTTTTAAATTTCCTTTGCAAGGTCTGGCTTGACCTCTTGCCACTCACTTTACCCATATGTTTTCTGACCTTTCATTTGTAATCAATCCTTTTCCCATCTCTTTGTAGGTGGTTAACTCCAAATATCCTGATTAATCATTTAGTTATGTCTGGAAGCCTTCCCTACAATTTTTTCCTCTTTCCTGGAATGCAAATTCCAGAGCTGCATATCAGACTTTGTTAATCACATATAGGTCAGCATCATAACTTGCAAAATAAAGCAATCTCTAAAGAAAAAAAAATCACATTCAAGTAACAGAGAAATGTCTGATTTGTTAACAGCTGGTCATTTTCATTGAGTTTTGGAGTTTGCTTATTTCACTGCCAGTAGTCTTTTCTCTTCTTAAAATTTAGAAGAAAAGCCAATAGAAATACATTGCATAAAAAAATGTCCTTTCCCACAAAAGATAGTTGAGAGTCTATATATGGAATGGAAATGAATGCTGAAGTCAGAGTGCATCAAAATAAGATTTTATAAAATTTCTACAGGACTTGCATAAAGGATGCTATTAACTATACCCAACTTTAGTATTATTTTAGTCACATATGGTACCATCTGTTGCTTTCAGGAAGAGCATCAGTCCACTGCTCTCAAAAACCATCTCAGAAGATGTAAATAATCAAGCTAGCATCTCCCAGAAGAGCCATCTGAGTTTATTCACTCTTAGGTTTCATCAGCTGTTTTGTTTTGGGATTTGCCTTTACAGGTAAAAATTACGTAACTCTGAAGCATGGAGTCCAAACACAGTAAAGCTTACATTTACTGGAAATTGTCTGCTTTTAAGCTGCATGCAACAGGAGTCTGTAGAATTATAAATAATTAGACTTTTGGTAGAAAAGTATCAAACATTTTTTAAAAAGCACAAACCTTTGCTTGTCCATTATAATCATCATCTAAAATGTTTGAGGAGTTTGGAACAGTAATGCCACGGAAGAAACGAGAAGATCTCAGGTACCGCTGGAAACTTAATAACCTTCTGATATTCCTTGCAGACACAGAGACTTCAATTTCAGAATTTGCTAGAAAAAAAAGAACAAATTCTTTCTAAAAATAATTAAGGAAAAAACCTTCCAAGCAGGTTGGTAAAATAAGGATTTTTTTCACTTTCATCACTGTTCAGTGCTTTAAACAAATTTAATGGTTGTATTTAGAACAGTTATATTCTTATCACTAACAATTAATCAGAACTATGGTTTAGAACAATTTGTTTCTTCTCAACTCAAAACAGAGACACAGACACCTGCAAATTGAAAACTAGCCATATGTGTTTTAACTAAAAATACATTATATACTTGGAGACACTGAATAAGAATTACATTTTGTGTTAGCACTAGAATAAAAACAACATATTGTACATGAGAATATTTTTTCAAAAAAGTGCAAATATATAAATAACTGCCTCTAGAAATTTATGATACATAAAACATTAGCAGCAGCAGCAACAGGTGTCATTAGTTAAGTTGTGGTATATGACTTAAAAATGACAAATACAACAAGAAAACCTTAAGCATCCAGAAATTACTTCTGCAAAAACGAGAACTTTGACAATTGTCACTATTGCTAATTATACAGTGAAGGTTTTCAAAAGCACATAAGCGAAACATTTTTCAAATTTTTTTTTATTTAAAACTTTCTCTGAACAACCCACTCCTGTTCTACTTATTCCCATGAGGTTCATACTGAACACATGAACATACCACCTTGCCTGAATACAGTAAAACTTGTACAGAAATCATTCTTGGCCTGTCTTTATTAAACCACCCAAAATATTTCATCCATCTTATTCTACCTTTATGAAACCCTTCAAATTGTGCCTTCAGTTTTTCGTGTATATTATTCCTAGAAGCAGCTGTACTTAGTCTATATGAATGATCTTATAGAGAATTAATAAAATCAGCACACATTTGGGGAGCTCAGGATTCAGATGCATATTCCTCAAGATGCACAGCCGCAGAAGTAATACTTGATGATCTATACTACTTTCCTTTCCAGAGAGATAACAGATATAACACAGCTGTAATTTTTGTTGTTAAAATTAAGCATTCTAGAACATATTTTGTAACTGAAGAGATGCTAGCCCAACACAGTAATTTATTAATCTGCTGAACCCAAAGAATTACCACAGACAATGTACCATTCCCATTAAGTTTTTTTTTTTAAAGTTACAGACACAGTGAAACTGAAAACATGAGCCTAATGCTTTTTTTTGTTTTTGGTAAATGTCTAAACGATACTGAAACTTTCACACAGCTTTCTAGAACAGAAACTTCTCCCTTCTAGATCAGGCCTTTCAGCCCCTATCCCTTGCCACCCTGGGAGCGGGGGAGGGTAATACGTCTCTTTAGACATATTCCTAAGTATAAAACTTTTTTTCACCTCGGCTTGAAGAAGTCATAATGCTGAAAAGGAAAAGACCAGACCAACCGATTCAGAAGCCAACATTCTTTCCACTTCACTCTAGAACAGAGGTTTAAAAGACAACTTGCAAAATAAAATAACTGAACTACATTTTTTAACGTAAGACGATCTTAAGTAATACTTGCTTTTTAAATAAAGACACAAACAAAAACACTAAACAAAACAGCATTTATTTCCTTCTTTTACTTCTCAATTATAATTGTTTATAATGTTTGAAAACTTGTTGCTTATGAATATAAAAATTACCATACTGAATCAAGTCCAGTATCCTGTACCTGACTGTACATTAATAGAAAGTACAAGAAGCCTCAATATAGACAGACCAGCCAGAAATGATGGGGGGGGGGGGGGGGAGGACACAATGGGACAGGGATAGAATGCCACTGCGAACTCCCTGTGGCAGGGGCAAGCTTCCCCTGCATCCCCTCCATCGCCCTCAGCCAGCACCCCACACCACCGCTGCCGCCAGGGAGCAGGGTGGGGGGAGCAGCAATGCCTTCCTCTGTCCTCTCCGTCTCTGCCGCCACCTGTCCAGAATGCTCTTGGAGCACTCTGACTGGTTGTTTCAATAACCAAATCAGAGGGCTCCGAGACCATTATGGACGGACAGAACGACAGATGGACTAAGCCCTTTATTATACTAGAATAGTTCCAAAGTTGTTCATAGGCAGATTTTACCCAACACTACAACCAGCCTGACATCTGACACACCAGGTAATCTGCCTCAAGATGACCACTTGGCATTATTCCTTTACACATTTCCCTCCCTTCCTCAACTCCCCTCCTATCTCTACCCATTGTCTTCCAAACTTCCACTCATTTGCATTTTCACAGACTTGTTATACACTTTAGCTTCTTTTCTACCTTGGAGAACTTGTAACAGCAGCACAGTCTCCTAGTGCCCAAAGAAGGGTGCTTGTGCCAAAAAGCCTGCAAAGAACTTTCTTCCAACTATTTAGTTGGTCTAATAAAAGATATCACATCTACCCAAAGAACCTTGTCTATCCAACAACCTAGATTTAAAAACCTGAGTAAATTTCAAACAGTTGTCTGTTTCTGCATCAGTTAAAGTGGGATTAAATCCTTATGCACTAGATCTTTCTGCAAAAAAAGTGTTCTTCCCATTTTCTATCATCTCATCTGTGTACTGATGAAAGTCTACAATAAAAGTGGAAGAATCTACAAGGTTTTTTTAGGGAATGTCTTTTACTGGACCAACTGTATACTTGGGAGAGGCATTAGATGAGCTTTTAACATAGTAGGATGTTCCTCAGGTCTGGGAAAGAAGTAGATACAGACTAGGCCAGGGTCGGCAATTATTTTGGGCAGAGGACTGCTTAACAAGTTTTGGCAAGCTGTCAGGGGCCACATAGGTAGCCCTGCCCCTTGACAGTTGCTGTGCCCCCTACTCACCATATTAGGACCAGAAGTCCCACCCCCCTAACCCCATACCTTTGCCACCAGAAGTCTCTCCCCTTGCCCTCCAGAAATACTCTTTTGCTACCTTAGAACCAGAACAAAACCAAATCATACACCAGAAGTCAAACACCTACTATAACTTATTTTAATTTTATTACAAAACTTATCTGTTGAGATTTGTGTTTGTGTACTGTATATAGGAGGGACTACATAACAACTAAAAAAAATAAAGTCTCACTCTTACACTGTGTGGAGGGAGGTGTGGGGGGGTGTATGGTGGGGCATAAAGTATGTTAGGTGTGTGTATATGTCAGTGGGGCTTGTGGGAGCAGGGTATGGGAGGTTTGTGGGGTGCAGGGACTCCCCACACAGCCCCTGCTGCCAGCAGCAGCAGGTAGGGGCGGGGGAGGGGCACAGGAAGCTCATGCCCAGTGCAGGCACTGTGCCCAATGGTCCATCTACCCCAATATCCAGTCTTTGCCAGTGGCTTTAAAGTAGTGGCATGCCAAAAGGTTGGCCCCCAAAAGTTAGCCCTGTGCCCGCTTTCAGCACCACTCTGACCCCCTTCCTCTACCCAATCCATTCTGCTTTCTGCTTCCTCATCTTTGTTCCCTGCCTGATCTGCTGCTTTGCTTTTGGCTTCTTGTCATCTTCCATTGTGCTGCCTGTCCTACTTGTGGCATCTATTCCACTGGTTGGCCACCTCTGCTTTAGAGGGAAAGCATGTGAACAGAGAATAATCAAGAGCAATCCAGTTTACCAAACCTTCCCTGTCCTAAGCCATCATTCATTTAGGGATGTCAGAAGATGCATCCTTAATTGTTCTGTTTAATAGCTATTAATGAACCTAACCCTCCACAAATTTGTTTAATCCAGGGTAACCAACAGGCCAAATACAGTCCATGAAGCCACAGCATCTGGCCTGCAGGGCTCCCCACACGTGGGGAAATTTGGCAATGGGGAAACTCGAATAGGAAATATCAGTATGTTGATGGAGGGTGACTGGGTGTCCTCCAAGTTGTTCCTGCACATGGAACCGAAAACATTTCAGATATGTGCCATAGAAGACTCAAACCTAAATCTTTCCTCTACTAATTTAAATTTGGGTTCCTGGACCCCTCCTCTATACAATCCTTCAAGTCACTACTATCATACACATCATAATTATACCAACTCCTGCCCCGAGCTTGCTAAACATTTGCCTCAACTTTAAACATCTTCATATCCATGAGGCAAGTAATTAATCAATTATGGCACCCTATATTAACATATTGGTATTTCCTATTCAAATTTATTATCATCACAGACCCACAACCCAGTCTCAAGTTCAAATGTAAAATACATTAAATCCATTATACCTCTTGGTAAAATGAAATATATTATGCATCAAAATGCAGAAATGTTACAAATGTTTTATTCCTGATCCTCATGCTACTTGGAATGACGTAATTTGGTTTAAGTGTCCATATTACAGCTGGTTAACTAAATCTGTATAAAGATTATCATGGTGTAAAGAATCAGCTTCATTTGGAAAAGATGCAAAATGGTTTTCATTTCAACTAACCAAAAATTAGCCCTCTGATTTTAGTGACGTCAGAGGAAACTGTCATAGGCATATATGCTAATTAGGTATGTAGTTTTTGCTGACTGTCAATGAAAACTAAGGGCTTAGCTGACAGTTGTGTATCTTGCGGGGAGGTACAGGGGGAACTCACCCTGTATCTTTATCCAAACAGTTTCAGAAAAGAGATTATTTTATAGACAGTTTATTAAATTCAGGCTGTTTGTGGTTGTATTCTGCTGAAGGTCTATAATCTTTACAAACCTGTAATGAAGTAAACCTTGTATTCTGGAGAAACTGTATAATTTCTTCAACAGCACTACAAGTCTTTAAGCAAAAGGAATATAGACAGAGATGTAAAGGTAACAGTTGGCAACTGACAGCAAGTTGCACAAATTAGTGATAAATGTATTACACTTGACCTTAGCCACTGCAATTGGCAGCATGTGACAAAGCAGGATGGTGATAATCCAGCTCTGTGGCAATCTATAGTTTCTCTCCCTGACAGTCTGGAATACTATGTGCTGTTCTGGACAAAGTGTTACCAGAAAATCACAGACAAATTGAAAACAATTATAAAACACTTTGCAAGAATTAGAAATAGAAGTTTAATTTTTAATC